CATAGCATGAGCATAGCAACAACAACAAGGAGCATAGCATGAACATAGCAACAACAATAAGGAGCATAGCATGAACATAGCATGAACATAGCATGAACATAGCATGAACAAAGGATGAAAAAAGGATGAAAAAAGCATGGACATAGCATGATCAAAGCATGAACATAGCATGAATAAAGCATGAACATAGCATGAACATAGCATGAACATAGCATGAACATAGCACCAAGGAATATATAGTAGGAGATAGCACCAGAAGGAGCTGGCCTTAAGGCACGGATAACTCTTCGCTTCTTACCAACTGCATTCGGACGACTGCTATAGCTTCCCTTAAAATTCTAAAATGGCAAAATGCCAAAAGTCTTAAACCAGCAGTACTTGGCCCAGCTATCGATGCCGAGCCTGAAAACGGGCTGTGCGCCGTTTCCCGCCGACCCGCCAGCGCAACAAGAAAACATTGTTTTGGCTGGTGGCGCCAGCCTTTGAAGGCCAGTACCCTGAGCCTCCAGAAGTTGCGGGGCGTTAACGACAACGCCCTGCGGCCGATGTGTGGGCCAAGTACTGGTGGTTTAACCCAACCACTTCAGGACCCCCCCCCATTCTCCTTATACTACACTAAGGAGGGTGTACTCAAATGCTCATTGTCATTTCTTATAATGGCTGGGTTGAGGCCCTAGGGAGGGAAAACACAACCAAAAAAAAAAAAAAAAAAAAAAAAAAAACAGAAAAAAAATCAACGCCGCCCTCTCGGGGTCACTTGGCTGTAAGGCCCCTAACGAAGGGCAGCGTCATGTGGACACATATTGTGAAGTGAGCCGAAACCAGGTGACGGCCCCGGGTGCACGAAATGTTTGCTGTACATGAGGGACGACGGACCCGGTTTCCACCAAGTGTAGCTCCCCACCAATAGACGGGAGCAGCCAGGGAAGCCTGCTAAAACTTAAAAGGGGTTGCTAGTACCACCCCCTCTCGCAAGCCGGGACTGGCTATTGCCACTATTGATGGTAAAAAAAAAAAAAAGGAGATTGGAATCACGGGAGCAGTAACAAT